TGTCGTAGGGACTCGCGAGAGGTACGGATGACGCACTCGACCGGAGCGGCAAACGCTCTCCGCGACAAGTCCTGCAAAATCTTGCGTGATGCGGCCGGGAGGGTCCCCCTTGCGGGACCGATGCACTCGACACCGGGGATTGACTATTTCTAGTCTTTCAGCCCCGATCGGATTTGTGCTTTGTGCTTTTGTCTGCTCTACGATCGCGACTGCGACGCTCCGTTCTCCAAACCTGCATCGCGTCACTGGACTATCTTCACCAACGGTTCGCAGCTCACCGCGTGAAAATCTAGGCCCTCCCGCCCATGCCCTAACTCGAATGTTATTTTGCTATCAGAAAGTCTGTTTGCATTATCGATTTCCTTCAGAAATTACTCTCCCCTTGCAATAACCAATGTTCTGCTTCTGAATTGAAACCCCTTGTTCTTTCTCCCAAGCCTCTGACTGAGGTCCTAGTTGCACTTCTCTCCATAGGCCAAGTTTGGAGAGTAGGCGCCTGGTTGCACTTACTCGCCAAACTTGGAGAATGCAAAATGTGTCAGACGGCTCGCCACACCGTCGACACAAGTTGTGGAGAGCGAATTCCATTTCCCCGCCTGTGCACGGCGGTTTGTGGAGAGTGGTCCTCGAACCTCTCCACAAAACAGCTTTCTGGAGAGTGCAGGGCTTCACGAGTCGACATCACGTAGACAAAAAATTTTAACTTTTATGTAGAAGGAATATAGTGGCGAGTAAGTGCAACTAGGACTCGAGTTCGACGCGATTCTCAGTTTTTTCACTCTCCACGCATCCGCCACGAAATGTGACGGATGGCGAGTAGTGCAACTAGGCCCTGAGAAACAGGCCGCATGAACACACCCTGAGGGCCTCGTTCCACTACTCGCCATCCGCCACAAACAGTGGCGAGACTTGCCGAGGCCGAAAACTGCATTTTTCTGGCAGAAAAAGGGTCTTGGTTCCATTACATCGCTGCCGCCACGTGCGCTGTGGTTGCTGTCCCGGCCTGCTCCCCGGACTGTGGCTGATGGCGAGCTAATGGAACGGTGGCCGCCTTCTCCTCACCATGTACTCAGACTGGAAATCACTCCAGGTGCAGCTAAAACTTGCCAACACTAGGGGACAACGCAGGTCGACTGTCAGGATGGCTGTGTCAGGGGCAATGGCCACACGAAGCATTTCGCAGAGGGGTGAGGAGTAGAGCCTCCACGAAGGGCCGTTGCAGGCAGGGGAAATGGAAAGCCTTGGCGGCACATCGCCAAAGTGATTTCACACCCAAATTCTGACAGCCTGGCTAGTGGCGATGCAGTGGAACCAAGTGGCGTCCGCCATGCGTGGCGGCGTGGCGGATGGCGAGTAGTGGAACGAGGCCCTGAGCTAGGCCGCTGTGGGGAGTCCTTTTATCCAACCAAGAAAACGACATAAGAACTGACAGGGAAATACCTGTAGGATAGGATTTTCTGGGAGCTCGATGCATCTGACCTCAATTACGGCCCGTCGTGGATGTATGCAACCGCAATTACGTCCACCAACGACCGCCCTTTATCCTCCCTCACCCCACCTCAATCGACTGGGTCCGGCCGCTCTGTCGTGCATATATTCATGTTGTCGGTTATTGTCGGCCTTCGGTCGGTGTCCTGCTCTCCCCCCTCTCCGGTTCTACCGGTAGCCTTCTACCTTCTGTTGTGTCAGTAGCTTGGCCCCGCCTTTATCAACGTGGATGTCCTCCAGGGGCTCGGTCCCACCTGCTCGTTGTAGTGTAGGCAGCTACCACGGTGTGACGATGGCGCGACGGCGGTGCGGCATTCTGTTGTACGGAAAACATGGGAAGTCTGACGGACAGACCTCGGTTGGACACGAGGTCGCGCACTTTCGAATTCGAACTTTTTTGTTTTGCAGTCTGATTTGTAGGGCCTCGCCACACCACTGTCGAAACAAAAAGAGAACAAATGCATCTTTCCGCAGAAAGTGGTAAGATGCATCCGTTGCTATTCATATCGACGGATGTATCCTCCCTTCTCTGCGGGATTATGCATTCTCTCTTTTTTCGTTTCGACAGTGTTGTGGCGAGCCGGGGCTCTGTACTCGCTGGCGGCCTCTTTGGCAGCTGATGTGTAAGCCTTCGGCCCTCACAGTAAAAAGTTGTTTTTATTTTTACAAGGCCCAACCAATTCATTAAATACCCTTCAAATCTGGACAGCACTTGCGGCAGTTTGCTGTTGAAGGAATGAATTGCAAATACAGAATGGCCTGTCCGTAAACCGACTTGGATGAGAAAAAAATAGGCCTGCAAGGCCTTCCTGTCCAGAAATAGCCTCTTTTTTTCAAAACAAAACAAAACAACGGACTTTCGTCTACCTCATAACTGAGACCTATGGACTGTTGAAATGCAGAGCTGAGTTCGAATTCCAATGGAATCTGATGAGTGAAAATAACTCTGAACTGAATTTATCTGCGGCTGGTCAGCGTACATATGACGGGCCTCGCTGCACTGCTCTCCAAATGTGCAAAATCAGACTGAATACACCGCTAGAACATGGACCGATACATTGCCATCTTTTTTGTCTTTTCAACTCTTTTGTGCCCGTGGGCAGTAGTGCAGCGAGGCCCGATATCACAACGCCATCGCCCTTTCTCGAAAGAAAGAGAAAAAAGAAGAACAACGGAAGGGAAACAAGAGAAGGAAAAAAAAAAAACCTTTCGTGTACCTTTTTTTTTTTTTTTTTTTTCGTGTCCCATTTCTCCATTTCTGCGCGTTAGAGGCCATGGGATGGATATGGATGAAAGATGCACACAAAAAGATGTACACTAGTCACCAAGTAGTGAAAATGCCTTCGGAAAAAAAAAAAACGTAGTGAAAAACCACTCAATGGCAGGATTATTGAGTATAAAACCACCAAGTGAGTCCCACCAGTCGTACCATCAAACCCCAAATCCATTCGATCCGATCCTCTTTGCTACCGTCTTCCCCCGAACACAACGCACCCTAGAAATGAATGTCTGCAAGCTATACTTCCGGCCAGATACATTCAAAATAAGGGTGCGTTGTGTTCGGGGGAAGACGGTAGTGGGACCACGCCCCAGGTAGGTAACTCAGGACTTATTGTGATTGCATCTGGCTTCGAACTTGGGGGTTTGCATTTCAACAGGGCCGAGGTCCCATTAGCAAAGAGGATCGGATTGAATGCCTGAATGTGGACGTGTTTTATGCAGAGATGCAGAAAAGCAGTTCAATCTCGATTTCCTGCACCTCTCGACAAACACGTCCAGATTCAGGCATACGACCCGATCCTCTTTGCTAGTGGGACCACGCCCCAGTTCATGGGTGAACCAACTGAGAGGTAGGCTCGTTGGTTATGTCGATCGTTTGGGAGTAGAGGTGAAGGCAACAAAAGAACGGCAGTAGGGGAAAAAAAAAAAAAAAAAAAAAAAGAACCCGGAAAGGAGTGATTTATGGCGGGGGAATGTTCAAATCGTCTTCGTTTTTTCCCCTTTCGATTTATGCGGGTCATCGGTGGGGAGGGGCCATTTTGGTAATTACCCTTCTCTGGCTCGTTCAATTTCAACGGATGTGCCGAAGGACTTCAAATCGGCATTGATCGGCACGGAGGACACGTCTCTCGCAGCACGTGTGGAGGAGATTAACAGCTGCGCTCGGGGGGAGAAGGGGAGGGCTCGCGGGGCGGCGAGGCGGAAAGAGGGGGGAGGGGGGGGGCGGGGCGCGCGCTGTGTGTTTCCGGGATAAACGTAGGCCGTTTTTTTCCCCACCTTGTTGGCTACTGTGGGCTACGAGAGTGGCCCGGGGCAACTTGCCCGGCCGGGCGAAAATAAATAAAATTTTAAAAGTTAAAAATAATATATATATATATCGTCACAAACAGAACTGCCCGGTATATATTAGTTTAAATTTGGTAAAGAATTTTGATGTGACCCTGAGGCCAGTGTGCGCCTTACGAAGGGGTGATGCTAATGCTTATCTTTTTTTTTTTTTTTTTTGATGGTCCGATGGACCACGGATCAGATATTAAACTGATCAGAACAGATACCACACTTGATCTTAGCCAAAAGGCCGAGAAAGGTATAATGCTTATCTTCTCTGCGTATGTAGAATAGGCATTCTAGAGTTGTAGATGTAGGCTGGATGATGCTTCCAATCTTCTTCTTCTTTTCTTTCTTTTTTTTTTTTTTTTTTGCCCCAATGACACAGCCCCCTTTATATTCTGGGGGGCCACCAGTCCGGTTACTTATCCGTGGCAAGCAAAAAATCTCCAAAAACAGCATTTGGAATGACAAGTGTAATGTTTCTCCAAAAAAAAAAAAAAAAAAAAAATCAATCAAAGGAAATACAGTAAGCGTCCACCGCGTTTCAAAACCGCCGTTAGGCAACGGGATACTAATTGAAGTACCCAGTTCAACCAAGCTAATTCTGAAGTCCTGTGAAACGGAGGGCGAGATCCCCCCGGCAAAGAAGATTGGAATAAGTGTCTGAATGTGAACGTGTTTGTGGAGAGGTGCAAAAGATTGTGAGTGATCTGCTTTTCTGCATCTCTGAGTAGAACACGTCCAGATTCAGACACTTATTTTCCAACCCTCTTAGCCAGTGGGATCTGGCCCTAAGGCCTTCGATTCTCTAGAAACTCCCAAGTCCTTTCATTCGGGTTGTTTGTGAGGTTCCCGGCCTCTATTCCAAATTATGCAATGAAATGACATATTTTATTTAAAATATATATATATATTCTGCGTGATTTGCCCTATATGGTACTCCTTTTTTTTTTTTTTTTTTTTTTTT